AATATATCTCAAAATTACAAAAGCCACACATGACAAAGTCACAGCCAACATTATACTGAATGGGGAAAAGTTGAAAGCATTCCCACCAAGAACTGAAACAAGACAAGAGTGCCCACTGTGACCACTTCTATTTGATATAGTGCAGGAAATCCTAACCAAGTCAATCAGACAAGAGATAGAAATCAAGGGTATCCAAACCAGGAAAGAGGAGGTCAAACTATTGCTTTTTGCTGACAATATGATCTTATATCTAGAAAAGCCCAACACTCCACCAAGAGACTCCTGGAATTGATAAATAAATTCAGCAAAATCTCAGGTTACAAAATTCATCCACACAAATCAGTAGCATTCCTATAGAGCAACAACAGTCAAGCTGAGAGTCAAATCAAAGATTCCATACCACTCATAATAGCTATAAAGAAAATAAAATACCTAGGAATATACTAAATCATGCAGGTGAAAGAGCTCTACAAAGAGAATGACAACACACTGAGGAAAGAAACTGCAGATGACATGAACACATGGGAAAACATATCATGTTCATGGATCAGTAGAATAAACATTGTTAAAATGTCCATACTACTCAAAGTGATTTACAGATTCAGTGCAACCCTCATCAAAACACCAATGTTATATTTCACAGATCTAGAAAAAGTAATTCTGTGCTTTGTGTAGAACCAGAAAAGAGCCCAAATAGCCAAAGCACTCTTAAGTGAAAAGAATAAATCCGAAGGTATCGCATTACCAGACTTCAAACTATACTACAAAGTGATAGCAACCAAAACAGCGTGGTACTGGCACAAAAATGGAGATGTAGACAAATGGAACGGAAGAGAGAACCCAGATATAAAACCATCCACATAAACCAACTGATCCTTGACAAAGCAGATAACAATATACACTGGGGAAAAGAAGCCTTATTCAATAAATGGTGCTGGGAAAATTGGATAGCCATAGCAGAAGAATGAAACAAGATCCATATTTCTCACCACTCACAAACAATAACTCAAGATGGATAAAAGGCTTAAATGTAAGTCATGATTTCTAAAAGAAAATGTAGGAAAAACTCTTCTAGATATCAGCCTGGGCAAATAATTTTTTTTTTTTTTTTGGTAATTTCTTTGATTTTATTTAAGAAAAAAATCAATAATGAATGCACCTTATGAAAACTTCATATCCACAGTAGGGTACAAATAGAATGTTTCAAAACTCCTTTGCACTTCATCTAGTTCTACTCCATAGAATTAACGACTGTTAAAGTTTTCTTGTTTATCCTTCCAGAACTCCATTTATACCTGAGAATGGTGCCATACAAAATGTTTCACAACACAGTCCTTATATTTAAAATATCAAAATATGTTAAATCTGGAAAACAATTTCCACTGAAGGATGAGGAGGTCTTCCTAAAACATATTTAAACATTTGAAAAAGTTAAGGAAGTTATGGAGGTAGAACAAATTCTGCTTAACCTTGTGTGTCACATGGCACCTGGCTATATCTGTCCTCCATGGGGAGGGGACAGGGTCCTTCTATTGCAGCAGGAGAGGGGTGCACATAGCGAGGTGCCCTGCACTGGCTGCCGGGAAAGAACTGCCGGCCATGAGGGACTGACACACACTACTGAAGCTGATCTTGCTGTCCTGTCTCTTTATAAGAAAAGTGTTGCTCCATCCATTGCTTGACTATTTTGTTTTGTGCAACTCTGATACCAAAGTGCAACAGGCAGACAGGTTTGAACTTCTATTCCTGGTGATTGGCATAGTGATGATCTTTGCTAAATTCTATATAGTGGGAGTCCTCCCCAGGTGTGGGTAGTCATCACTCGGTGTTCTGTGCTGCTTTCCCCTTGCATCTTTTGTTATACTTCTGCTTGGACATTTCTTTATTGTATGTCTTCCTCTTTCTATAAAACCATTGATTTATCTGTTTATTTGTCATGCTAAATTCAAACGAGAGTGATAGACTGTCTTGTATTGTGAGGTATTTATTTAATTTAAACTTTCCCCAGAGAGTGTCCATGAGCGATTTGCTGACTAATCTTTTCCTGGGATATCCTTCCCCATTTTCCTTTTTCTTTTCTTTTTTCTGTTCCTCTTCCAATTCCTTTTCTACTTCCTCTTCTTTTTCTCCTCCTCCTGTTTCTTTTCTCCATTCCTGCTTTCTCTTTCCTTCATCCTTGCCATAATTCCTACTTGATTGCTCTGGACCGGGATCCCAAGCCATGGCTGGTTGTTTCTGGATAACAAGATCTTCCAGCCCCTGCTGATTTAGGTCCATGATTGTTTTGCTTTGGGTCTTCTCTCCTACAAGCTCTGTTTGATTTTTAGAGATAAAAATCAGAAAATTCTTGAATTATCAGGGGCTTTTAAAAGTAACAGGAACTCTCTCCACCTTGAAAAACTTTCTTTTTTTGGCTTCTAGGATACCATTCCTTCCTGGGTTGCCTTCTAACTCAATGGCTGTTCTTTTTCTGGGCAAAGAATTTATGACTAAGACCACAATGGTAATTACAGCAACAATAAAAATAAATAAACACATAAATAAATAGGACCTGATTAAATTAAGAAGCATCTACACAGATAAGGAAATAATCAGCAGAGCAAATAGACAACCTACAGAATGTGAGAAAATATATGTACGCTATACATCCAATAAAAGGCTAATAACCAGAATCTACAAAGAGCTCAAGCAAATCAGCAAGAAAAAAAACCAACCCCATTAAAAAGTGGGCAAGTGGGCAATTGGGCAACAGGCATGAATAGAAGTTATTCAAAAAAAGGTAGACGAATGGCCAATAAACATATGAAAAAATGCTCAATGTCACTAATCATCAGGGAAATGCAAATTAACATCACAAAAATAAAATTAGAATGGCTAATTTTATTATTAGAATGGCTAGAATGGCTTTGTTAAAAAGTCCAAAAACAATAGATGCTAGCATGGATGCAGAGAAAAAGGCATGCTTATACATTGTTGGTGGGACTGCAAATTAGTACAACCTCCATGGAAAACAGTATGAAGATTCCTCAAAGAACTAAAAGTAGACCTACCATTTGATCCAGCAATCCCACTACTGGGAATGTACTCAGAGTAAAAGAAGTAATTTTATCAAAAAGATATCTGCACTCCAATGTTTATTGCAGCACAATTCACAATTGGAAAGATGTGGAATCAACCCAAATGCCCATCGACTCATGAATGGTCTAACAAAATATGGTATGTGTATACCATGGAATACTACTCAGCCATGAAGAAAGATGACTTAAGTCCTTTTGCAACAATTTGGGTGGACCTGGAGACCATTATCCTAAGTGAGGTATCTAAAGAATGGAAAAACAAACACCACAGGTACTTGATATTAAATTGGAACTAACTGATGAATACAATGTGCACAGAGGGAAGTAAAACTCAGCTGGAATCAAGCAAGGGGCACGGGAAGGAGTAGATGGGTAAAAGCCTACCTAAGAGGTACAGTGAACACTATCTGTGTGATGGGCACATTTATAGCCCTGACTCAAACATTGCAAAAGGGATCCATGAATGGATTAATAAAACGTGGTATACATATACCATGGAGAACTACTTAGCCATAAAAAAAATGGTGATCTAGTATCTTTTGTAACAACCTGGATGGAACTGGAGGCCATGCTTCTTAGTGAAGTATTGCAGGAATGGAAAAACAAACACTATATGTGCTTAATACTAAATTGGAACTAATTGATCAATACTTAATTGTGTACACATGGAAGTAAAATTCAACGGAAATTAAGTAGGTGAGGGAAGGAAGGGATGGGTAAACTCACAGCTAACTGGTACAATTCACATTAACTGGCTGAAAGGCACGCTTGTAACTTTGACTCAAACTATACGAAAACAAATTATGTAATCAAAATATGTATATCCCCATAAAATTCTGAAATAACAAAAAAAGTGATCCATGTAAATAAAAACATTTGTACCCTCATAATATTTTGAAATAAAAAAAAAAGAAGTTAATGAAATTATCTTGTCAGTTAGGAAAAAAAAAGAAAAAAATAGAAAATGACTTGGTTTTAGATATATCTTAGAAGTAGGGTGAGCAACTGATCTATTTTGCCCAGGATTCAGGAAGTTCCCTGGACTTGGGACTTTGAATGCTGAAAGTAGGAAAGTTCCAGGAAAATTAAAAAAAAAATTAATAAAATAGTAACTGTTGCTTTAATTATATATTTTTTATGGAAAATGTGTTAATGGTATTTTATTCAAATTACAATAATGCCGTTAGCAGTGGAAACCAATATAATGCGGTGGGGAACTGAGGAACCTTTCTGTGGGGCTCTTCTTACAGCTCCATTTGAGTAATGGAGAATATAACACAGTCAATCTCTTAATGCCCCTGGCATTGCATGTACTAATGAAATCACCTTTGCTGTTCATATGGAAACAGGTCATCTTTCATCTGTGAATTTATTCTTATAATTGATATGTATTTCAATCTGTTTGACATTACTAATTTGGATGTACATGGCTTTGTCCCAAGGTGCTTTGTGAGAATGGTAAAACTGTCGCCAAGGGCTGATGGCACCAAAAAAAAGGTTAATGTGCAAAAGTAAACTGTCTTAAGCCAGTGGGTCTTAATGAATTTAAAAAATGAGAATTCAGTGACCTAATGCCCACGTGAGCCAAGTGAAGTAATTTTTTTTTTCTTTTTGTTTTTTTTTTTTTTTGTTCTACAAAGGATGCATAAACTAGACACTTTGAAACAATAAACAGTAAAACCCTGTTTCACTTTCTCATTAATTTGCATGGCTATACTCTGTGCTTATAGTGCCAAACCATGGGATACTTTGAATGTGAAGAGAAACGTTACCAATCACAAATACATAAAAGAAGGTCACAAAGTGATTAATCCTTCTTTTTTGGCTATCACGGCTGTTTGCATTTTAGATCTTAATGGAAGACTACAACTTTTGGTTCAGAAAAGTTCGCTCTAACTCCACTCTCCTCTCTCATTTTTTCAGTGCTTCGGCTCCTGAAGGAGGGGGCAGATCCTCATACGCTCGTTTCCTCAGGAGGGTCCTTACTCCATCTGGTAAGAACTGTGACAATCTATGCAAGCGTGTGGCAACACCAGCAGAAGGAGAAAAAATTACAGGCTCAAACTCAGCAATAAAATGTACATCTAGCAGATGATCAGAAAAAGGATGTGTTTCTAATTAACAGGCTCAGATAATGAGCTGCAACAATTATTTAATTACTGCATGGAAGTTTGTAGATAATCTTTAATAAATTTAGAGTTTCTGCCTTAAAGGAAACACTTTTAAAAACTATTAATAATAGTATTCAATAAATAAATAAAGTAATATTATACCAGTTATACAGTGTGTGTGTATATGTGTGTGTGTGTGTGTGTGTGTGTGTGTGTGTGTGTGTGTGTGTGAAAGAGAGAGAGAGAGAGAGGAAGTGGGGGAGAGAGGAGTAGAAGGAGAAGGAGAGGAAAGAGGAAGAGGAGGAGGAGGAGGGGAGCGAGGGAAGGGAGGGAAAGAGGGAGAGGCTGTCACTTCTTCACGTGTGTATATATAGTATCTGACTTTTAATGAGTGCCTGCAAACCAGCAGTTGCTTCCTTGATCTTTGAAATAAAGCCAGAAAGCTACCATCTCTCTTCTTTGGATAAACAGCTTCCTCAGTCTTCTCCCAGGGCCCATCCTTGCCTACTCTATACTTCGGTTCCCACACGCAGCCAGGGCATGTTACTCCTGTATCAAAATGCCCCAACGACTTTCCCTCTCACACGAGCAAACTTCAAAGTCCTACCCATGGCCACACAGGGATCTGTCTCCATGTCCCAGCCCACAGCTATCGTGACCCCATCTCTGGTTATTCTGATTACTCCGCTCCTGCTCTCTCTGCTCCACCCACACCGGCCTCTTTGCTGCTCATGGTCCTGCTCCCCCCCGAGCTCCTGCTTGCTGGTTTTTCCTCTTAGCACATGCCTCCCAGATACCCCTCTGGCTCCCTTGCTCACTTGCTTTGGGTCCCTGCTCAAATATCACCTAACAGAACAGCCTTCCCTCCTTGCCCTAGAGGATGTAGTAGCCCACCACTAACATGACACAACCAACTTCATTTCCATCCCTTTGTCTGTTTTTCCCCATCTTTTGTAGCAAGATCGCATCAAAGAAATTATAGGTTCGTGTGACTATTTTCTATTTCTTAGATTGTCAGCTCTATGAGACACGGGACTTGGTATATTTTCATAACTCTTGTATCTAGAATGCCCAGGAGAGCACCTGGCACTCGGACTGCCTGGTGTGCAGTAGATCTGTTGAGTAGATCAGTTAATAAATATCTGACACTGTGATTGATGTTGGGGGTGAGAAGATGCAAAACACATATTCTGTGCTCACACTAAGTTTGATTTTCTGAGGGAGACAGAAAAATACACCACTGATTCCAGCAGACTACATGAGGGATAAGTAGATGATAGTTATGGAAGGAAACAACGAAGCTACTTGGCTGCCCTTGGCGGTCAGTTATAAAGCCTCTTCTCACCCTTCTGGTCAGGTTTAACTACTCTTATCCAAGTTCTCATAATATATGATCCCTGCTTCTCTGTAGATCTTGTCACAGTGGATTATAATTAATGGATTATGTGCCTTTTTCTCTGTGCTAGACTCAAATTTTGAAAACTGTGATTGTGTTAGCACTTTTATAGTCTTAGCATGTGTTGCCTAATAAATCCTCAATGTATAGTAAATGAATGAATGAAAGGGCTCTAAGCATATAAAGATCTCTTTGTATAATGAGAAGATAGTTATTTTAGGCCCAAGTAACACAGCATAAAGATTCAGAAATGGTAGAGTCAGAAGAAAAAAGAAACAAGAAGATTAAAGTGATAAGGTAGATGGGAAACACTTTATTAACTCTCTCTCCAAGGCAAGAATATTGCATTTTTTTTTGTTACACACAGGTTGTGAGACTAAGACCAAGGGGAGGCTGGAACTGGAGGAATTGTAGGGAAACCTGGTGGCAGCTGAAAGAGGGAGGGCTCGTTGCTGGAGTCTTCTTTCCCTAAAGCTATCAAGTAAATAAAGACAAATAAAAAATTACAGGTTGCCAGAGAGACAAAATTACAGGTTTCTGAATGCCTTAGGTACTGAGAAAGGCAATTTAGCCATCGAAAATGCCAAGGGTGAGAAGCTTTGCTGTGCACCCACCTTTCGGGCGTCCCACATGATGCACCCCGATGCTTCATCAGCACCGAAGCCCTAATTACGCAGGATCAGGGGCTCTGAGGGAAGGCAGCGCATGTTTGCATGGGCGTCGAGCATAAGCTGCGGGAATTGTTGAAACCTCCCAGAATTGTGCTTGTTTAACTGAATTATTATTCATTGGGTACTCTATTCTAAGTATATATTTCTGTAAGACATTGCTCTGAGAAGTGTCATAAAAACTTGTAGGCTGAGGATTTAAATTCCCACAGGATTGAAGGTAGATATTTGAGAAACATGTTGTACTCTTTTTGGTATATAACCTCTTTCATTTTCTATTCTTTTGAATACGTTTTCAACCGATACACCTGAATTAATGTGTTTACCCACCATTCATTAAATAATGCATGTATTAAACATATGGCAGGTCTCAGGTACTTTGATAGATACAGAGGAATAATGGCCAAAAGTAACAACATACACACCCCAGGAATTTAGTTTCATGAGGACAATATAGAAGAAATTTCAGATTTAACTCTTTGTGAGAAATTATGTTTGCGGAGTGGGAAACAGAATTACTTAGGCTTTGCTAAAATGTTGTCCAGGGTTTTATGTTATTATCTCCAATCAATGAGAAATTGAGAAGGAAATCCCAATGGTAGTGTCATCCCCTTGAATGGAGTACGACAGCAATCTCTTTTAATTCTGTTCTGTGACAGTCTCAGACCAGAACCAAGTGGAAGGAAATAGGAAATACACATTCTTTTACCAAGTGAATTCCACTTTAAACACAAAGATAGGCATCAAAGCAGTGGAATTCAGGTAATTGTTAAAAATATTGAACTATAACATATATGAAAATATGTCCAAGACATATTGTTAATGCCAAAAGCAGGTAAGAGAATAGTGCACATCGTATAGTCAGATAGACGATAGAGATGTAGATAGATAGAAAGAAATAGAGAGATAGACAGACAGACAGATAGGCAGATAGTCCTTTTCAATAGCCAACAAAATATCTTGAAGGCTAGACAAGAAATTTTTAACAGTGACTCAATTTGGGGAATGAGAACAAGGTGTTTCAGTATTTTATGTTTCCTTTTCAGATTGCTTGACCATTTAAAATAATAAGCATGTATGCTTTATGTGATAAAAATACTAATACAAAAATATGTAACTTTGCTCCTCCTGGTGCTTTAAATTGAGCTGCTTTTTGTGCTTCATTGTAAGTTTCTCTAAAGTCTCAGATGCTGTTAGAAGCACAGAGAATTAGCAGCTTAAAACAGTGGAGGCAGTTCAACAGTTCAATATCTTCATAATCAGCAGAAAGTATTGTAATTTGAAAAGAGGCAAACTATCAAAACTCTAGAAAAAATATCTAAAGAAATATCTTATTTTTCAAAATGTCTAGGTGTTAAATAACAAAAATAGCTCATAGTGGAAGTTGCCCACAAATTCCCCTGCCCATCCACACCTAGCATCTGGCCTTGACCACTTAACTCCAACCCTCTTCTTAGCTTTTCCAGAAGAAAAAGGGCAAAAGCTACAAAGGTAAATTCTAGTAAAAATAATCAATCACAGCAGAAAATGATATACCCTCTGCAGGGGCTGTTCCTAGAGTTTCTTAGAGGGGTGGCAGCTGGAGGTGGGGCGCACGCATGCAGCATGGTGCAGCAGGAAGCAGAGGGGGGGAGGAAGGGGCCAGAGGGAAGGGAATGGATGGTGTCTGGGGCTGAGCCCCGGCAGGCTGCTGCCAAGGGCTGGCAAACAGGAAAGGGAGTGGCCGTGGCTGTGAGCGGGGGACTGTACATTTTCCCATGGATGTGATTCAGGGTTCAAAATCTTGACTGTGCTTTTTAAAATTCATTATCTCTTTGGTCCATGAGAAGCATGCATTCATAGTTAGAAAGTCTGTAGTCCAGAATGTTAGATCATTATTAAAACATCCAGCTGAATCTCGAATGAAAATCCTACCTGTGATCTGCACTGTGGTGCATTTTTATCCCGACGACCTTCCTGCATGACTTAGTGGGGACAAGGGTAAGGGAAGAGCAAATTGTGCTGATTCCAGGAATGCTACCAGAAGCCAAAGAGACTGAGTTTTCCATTTTTGAGTGAGTACACCATGCAGGCCTGATTCATTCAACATTAAATTATTTTAAAAAGGCCCTGGTGAAGTTACCAGATAAATTTTTTTGTGTGTGTAATTTCTGTTTTGTTTTATTTTTATATCTTTGCAACAAAGGAACTGAAATTATTAAGAATTAGAACCCTTTCTTGATAGGACGAAGGCAAATAACAAGGCATTTTTCACAGACTTCTTGTAGAACTGTGCCCCCCTCCAAGAAAACTTGCAATCACCCAGCTTCAAAATCACTGTAAAAAAGTCTTTTCTAGGAGAAACTGGAGTGTCATACCAAGAAAGTGTGGCCTTTATGTGTCAGCCTAAAACTCACCCACTCAGAACGGCCTTCTTTAAACAACTCCAATAATCTATACCATTCTAGACATGCCAAGATGCTTAGAATTCCACAAATGGCTGTTTTCATTCCTCCTTCGTATTGTTCACGCTGCTTCCTACTGTGGGTGCTCTGCTGAGATGGTCCAGTAGCTCACTGGCCCTCCCCATCTTGGCTCTTTGACTGAACAGCCCCCTCGAGCATAGGCTGTTGCTGTGGGATGACAGCTGTTCATCACACCCACCCCCTGGCTCAGCACAGCATGGGCACATGGTAGGTCCTCAGTGCACGTAGATATTTAATTAGTAGATATATGAATGTCCCAACCCCAGTCCCCGCCCCCTTTTTGCTAGGTGCTTCCTGATTGTTCAAGACGAGCTCCTGGGTTCCCACACCGGATTGTCCAGTTAATTCTTACCA